TCCTGAAGGCTAGAAAGTGAAGGAGCTGGGCTTCAAATCCAGGAAGACTGTCTTCATTAGATTCTGTTCGTCTCAAAATCTTGTCAAAAGAACTGTATAGTGGCTGTCACAGTTACATGTGACTCTTAGTTTTGAATTTTCAGCAGAAAGGGAAAACTTCGCAGTGGCATTTCTTCTTTCTCTAGTCAGCTCCGACAGTTTGCTGTCTGTATCTCCATCTGGTGATCTCCAGCCTGTAATGAATAACTAAGAGTAGCTTTTGACAGAAAGCTAGGGCATCCCTCATGCAGATTCTGTGAATAGGTAGATGGAAAAACCTGAAATACTACTTCAGTTCGTATAAGGTCAACAGCAACAGTGAGTGGTGTCATGCTGACAGCATGTATCCTTGAACATATGATGAAAATGACACTTTATCTCCGTGACCATCTCCCTAAAGTCCCTTCAGTCTAATCATGGGAAAAACATCAAATAAATGTAGAAGAGAAGGTACTTTAATATATCTCACCATATTCCTCAAAACTATCAGACATCAAAAACAAGTATAATCTGAGGTACTTGCTGTCATAGCCAAGAGGCACTTAAGAAATGACAACAAAACGTAATGTGATATTCTGGATGAGATCCAGGAACAAAAAAAGGCAATTAGATAAAAACTGAAGGAATCTAAACCATCTATGAAATTTAGCCATGTGTGTATGTATGTGTATATATACATACATATATATAATTTTTATATATACATAGTATGTATATTAAGTGAAATTCATGTTTTTAATGAGGGGGAAAGGGAGTAAAAGTATTATGGATTCCTGTTAAGAATAAAGCCTTGAGTCTTCTAGGTCAAGTTCTGTATCTGACACCATACAACTCTTTCCTGCGATAACTTTTGAGAGCCTACTGTGTACCTAGCACTGCACTCAGCCATGGGAGTTCAGTGTTGAATAACAGACACTGGTTCTGCCTTCACAGAGCAGTTTAGTGAGGGAGAAAACCACAAAAAGTAATTATACAATTATTGAATTGTGGCACTTAGTGTTACAAAGGAGAATTATAGTGTAGTATGATCTTGAACACAGGAGAAACCAATCTAGACTGATGGATTATCAAAGGCTTCTCTAAGGAATTTGTGTTTGAGCTATTACCAAAAGGATGTGCATCACATTTTATTAATAAGATAATCCTACCTTTGTCAGTATGTTCAGGGGGAAAAAAGCCTAGGCTCAAACTCTTCTTTTGTTGGCAGTTTTATTTCTAAGGTTAATCATTAATATTGACTGCCTTAATAAGTAAAGGTGTGTCTAGATTTCCCTTTTGAGAAAAGCCATTGAATATATCCATGTACTGATGCCTCTAAATAAAGCAGATTTGAAAAGCAGCAAATGAGAAAATATAAATAGAACCCTTACAGATAGTTTTGGATCATTGTCTCTACCAGGAATACTAGTGTATTCCTAAAATCCACAATTCAAGTAACTCATACTTTTACTTTTTAAATTAATATCTCCTTGACTTTCATGGAATGTGGCTCTCCTTTTTGCCCTGAACTTTTATCAATGAAAGTATTAAGAGTTAAGATTCTTATATGCATTTTATAGGTTCCAGTTAGCTTTGCTTTGCCCTAGGGCTTCAGCTATATAACTTCTAACTAGTTCTGGTGGTTTAAAAATGTCTACAGATCCTTTTACTGTCCTCTTCTCAAAAGGAAGCCTGATTCTCCTCCCTTTCAGTGGGGGCTAGACTTCAGTGTCTCCCTTCCAATGAGCAGAATGTGGTGGTAGTGAAAAAGTGTGATTCCTAGGACTAGGTCATAAAAGCCACTGTGACTTCTGTTTGCTTGACCAAATCACTTTATGGAAGCCAATGCCATGTTGTAAGGCCATTCAAGTGGAGAAGTCTACATGGCAAGGAGGCAAGGTGGGTGAACTACCCTAAATCTTCCCAGTTCCAGGCAAGCTTCAGATAGTTGCCACTGACATTTGTCTGCAAACCTCATGAAAGACTGGAGTCAGAACTACACAGACTTACCCGCACTTGAATTTTGGACCCATAGAAGCTATGAGATAAATGTTTACTGTTATTTAAAGCTGCTAAGAGTAAGGACAATCCATTATGCAGCAATATATAACAAGTATAACACCTTTCTTAAACATGCATATGTAAAAAAAAACGGGAGTAGCATAAAAATGTGGGCAAACTGACATCCTTATATGACAGCCCCAAGTGCCAGTGGAACCAAGGTTAGATTTTGTATGCTTCTTCTTGATGAATTTCTCTTCTTCGCAGTTGCTGTGCCTAGGTACTTTAACTCTAGAGTTTGTAAGTAGGCTTGGTTTATTCGTGATTAACCACACACTAGGTAATGATTCAACAAGGATGATTAACCAATCACACAAAGGTGTGGCTTTTTTGATCAGTTGTTTTTCTTTGACTAAAAATCTTAAGGAAAATTGATCCCCTATACTGTGATAGCCCCCAAACCTCCTGCTAGATTAGGAAAAGACAGTTAGAAGGAAAGTTAAGAACATCTCCATGGTTTCACTCAGGCGTTTAGGAGTGTTCACAGCTGTGAGAAACAGTTTTCCAGTTTAAAAAATCTAAATAGTTTAAGGCATTTTAGATACTGTGAAGTTAGTTCATAGTATGTTAAAACCAAACTGAACTTTCTTCTCTCTCCAAGTTCATCTTTTCTTCTTCCAGAGACTCGTATTTCAAAACTTACCTGTTTTTTTTTTTTTTGTACATTTTTCTATTAATCAGCCTCGTTATAGGGTCTCTAAAGGATTCAAGAGTTCCTTTCTCAGAGGGCTGAGAAAACTTACAGCAAACTCCACGGTGAAAAAAGATGGTGGTTGTTGCCAGTTAGGGTCAGGTTACAGTGACTAAGACACCGTGTGCCACTTCTGGAGCTACAGTCTTCTAAGTGTGAGAACAGTATGCAAGGATATAGGCACTCAGCCTCCTAGACTGGAAAAAGAACTGTTGTTTTACCAATACACAGAGGTGGGTGTATATGTGTCCTGAACATCCACAAGATAAAGATCAAGGAGTTTTATTTTAATTGTACACACTGTATCCAGGAAACAATGACCATTAAGTAGTACTCAGATCTATAATTCTTTTTTTCCTTCTCCCTCAGGAGATTATAAACAAATGACAAGCAGGTTAAATTTAGACTTCAGGGTTTTGCTTTCACTCCTGTCAGCTCCAGTTCACTCTCTATGAAAGGGCAGATGTTGCCTTCTTCCTTTCCAGTGGCAGATTCTAGATTGTTTCCCCACTAGCAAGAGGCAGCAGTAACCTCCAGGATATGTTGGGGGTGGGGAGAAAGGAAAGCTGCTGGCTGGCATTACAGCAGACTGCCTTTCTTTTGGGATAGAAGAAAATATGAGACAAACTGCTGTATATTACAGATTGGCTTTTTGTTCTTGTTTCTTAATTTGGGAGGTAGACTCCACATTAAAGGAAAAACTGTAGTAAGTTCAACGTTGAATAGAAAACTTTTTCTATATGATTGTGTACCAGTAGCATTTGTATCTTTTTAGCTCTTGGTCCCACAAGAACTCTTCTCAGTTATATCTTCTTTCAAGGTTTTTTTTTTTTTCACTGACATGACCAGAAAGCTTTACTTTTTACATAAAGGTTAGTTATGTAATTAGTTGTCTTTTTTCCAATGTTGTTGCAAAGCTCAACTATTTTAATTCTAAAAATAATTATTAGCTGGGGCAGTATAACTTAGTAGAAGATAGTATCTTAACCTTACTTACTCTTAAAGGTATTTTTATAAATACTTATTCTTCCCATAAGTCAGTGCCATAGAAAAACAAAGCTAGATTTTCATCATGATAAAATGTGTGTCCCAATGTTTAATAAACAAATGTGATGACACTGTTAACACTGCACTTTAGAGATGACCTGTTTAACATATCTGTATATACTGATCTATCAATAAAAGCAGTTTGTTTTCACAACTGAATATCACTGAATATCCTGAATATCACTGATCTCATAATTATAAAGTGAATGATTTGTTCATTTTGTATTTAACTGTATTTTAAGTTACCATTGTTTACTTACACATCAAATAGCTGCTTTCCTCTCCCTAACCTCATTCTATAAAACTTAAATGTATTTTGTTTTTTTCTCTTCCTCTCTACTCTCTCCTGGAAGTTTTTATATAAGGCACTCTTTGGTCCACAGCAGGCTAGTTCTCATTCTTGGAAACTTCGGAAAGGCTATTGTGAACAGCTGAGATTCTTCTAAAAAGATTCTGTAATATGGGTTGGTAGAATGGCTCAAGTTGTGAAGCGCCTACCTAGCAAGTATGAAGCCCTGAGTTCAAACCCCAGCTACACCCCCTCCCAAAAATATTAAGATTCTGTAATACCATTTTTAGATAAAATTTTCACAGTTAAGCTGTCTTTGGTACTGTTTCACAGGTGACAGGGTCCTGCTGTTTGCTGTAAAGATCTGTTTAAGCATTGTGAATGTGGTAACACTCTATGTCTTACCTGCTTCAGAACACTTACCTGACCCCTGTGGAATGCCAGCCAGCTTGGAGCTTATGACACTGACCATGCCACACCCTCCTGCCTGCTGAAGGTGCTCAGACCTCCCTTCAAGTAGCCACCCTCCAGGCAGAACACAAGAGGGTAGGCTGATGGAAATGTGGGCTGAACTCTGGCTTTGTCCCAACTCTGCCACAAACCACTCTTGTCAGCTTTCCATTTGTCCAATACTTAGAAACAACAGTGCTTATGGCATGCATGCTGTCAGATTAAATGATGATAAGTAACAAATGTTTAGATACTGTCTAGTACACAGAAAACCCTCAGTAAATGTTAGCTGGTGCTGTTTAACATCATAGGAACATGCATCCATGCAAATCTGGCAAATTGGATCTGAAGCTAACTGCAGGGTTATTAGACATAAACAATTTTTAAAATCTGAATTAGACAGTTTGTATTCTAAAACACACATACACAAATCTGTACCAATTAAATACAATAAAATTGAAAGGGGATATAAATTACAGTTTTTCTTTTTTTTTTAACAGACAATAGTAAAATACTACAGTCAGCTCACTATACACAAAAATTATGAACAGCAGCTTTTCAATAAAGTTTCTAATATCTTACTCATTTAACAATGCTAGAAACAAAAAGTACAGCAGGCTGTACACATTCTCTCGCTCTTCTCTCACAACACGTTTATAGCTGTACATACAGACCAATTGTACAGGCATCTACAGATAAGGTACAGAAAGTATTTTTGTAAAAATTTCCACACACATAATTCTACAATGTCTCCACTCACAGGAGAATTTTACAAATGACACAACAGCCGAGTCGTCTATATTCAATCATCTGCACATACGGGGAAGTGTGAACCTGTGATGAACCTGATCAGTTCATCTCTTCTGCATTTTTCAGAATCAAGCAAAACCACGTAATTCCACTAATCCAAAACAAACAAACAAACAAACAAACCCAAATCAACACCCCTTTCTCTAGCACCCAATCCCAACTCTTGGTACACCCTTGTTTTTGCTTACTGTAATACTGCTCTCTCTACTTTGCACCTGGCTGGCTAGGCTGAACCAAGGTATAGGAAATGCTGGGCTGGAGTCAGAGCCCCAGTCATTGTCAACAGTTTTACAATACAATGTCAAGTCAGCAGGTGTTGGGCCAGGTGGAAGACCAAAGAATATAGTTGTGAGATTTCTCAGTGTGCTTAATGAACGGAGGACAGAGAAGGACAGCACGTGCCTTGGTAGCCAAGGGAAATATGGCACCAAACTTGTAGTCAAATATATATGCTCACATAAACAAGAGTGGACACCAAAGATGTTCAGTCTCGTGTAAGTTCTTTGGTTATAAAGAACAGCATCTGTGTAACCTTTTCTGTGAAGAGAGTTTGCAAATTCATTCTTAGGCAATAAAATATTTTTCATCTCATGTAAAAGCAATTGCCCAAGTTGCTTTGTAACAAAGTCCAGTACCTTATAATTTTCTACAAATCACCTTTATCTGCATTTTAGTGTGCAGCCTGTCTCTGAACAGACACACTATAGATACACATTTCATATACATAATATATATATATTATTTATAAAAAACAAATTAGAGCATTGCCTCCAGATTCTACCATAAGAACTCATTAAAACTGTACAAGAATAAAGGTTGGTTGTATCTGCAAAGGTCTCTACACAGTGGGGATGTGTAGGAAGTGCAAACAAAAATACTGTCACTCAGTCCAGGATTTCAGTTCTCTTGCTTTCTAGAATAAAGCAGAGGATGCAATTCACCCTGGTGACAAAGTGCTACTTCTCCAGCTGAGGAGGGGAAAAACATGGCTCCCCCATGCTGGTCTGAGGTTGGCTAGGTCGCAGAGTGTCTTCAGATGGGGTGGTGCCTTCCCACGGCGACCAGGTGAAAAAAGCTGTTTAGCTGTGGTCAGCAAAGGGTGTGCTTGCTGCCTCTCACCGTGTGTCTGTGCTCCCCTGTAATGCAGAGGCTGGTAAGTCCAAGATCCTTGGCCCTACCTCCCCACAGAGCCCACCCTGGAGGGACTCTCCCTAAAGGGACCTGTTGGACTGGATTCATTAGGGAATTCAGTTCTGGAATTCACACCACATAAGGGAGAAACCTGGTCCTGAGGTGAAGCTGCTAAGAAAAGTGATCCATGTTCTAAGTAATTTCAGGGTTAGAACTAAAGTCAAATTAAGTTATTAAAACCTATGTAGAGGCTAGGGTGGGGGACAGCTCAATGATAGAGTGCTTGCCTAGCATTTAAGAGGCCTGGGGTTCGATTCCCAGCATTGCAAGTAACAACACCAATAAAAAAAAATCCTCAAAATATGACAAAAATACTAAAGCAAAATTTGTTTTAAAGAAAAAAATTTCCGTAATCACACTGTCCTGATGCAACAAATATTTCTGCAGAATCCAGTTTTAAACCAATCTCTGGCACAGAAACACTATACTGAGACCTTTTTGAGAGTGGAAATTTTCCTGTTTCTCGGGTTGAAAACAATCTAGGCCACTGAAGCAAGAGGGGTTGCTGCTGCTCATTCCTCTTCCACAGGCCATCTTCTCAGTAAGATCCTCAGACACCCGACTTCCTATCACGCTATCTTTGTGGTCTGTGAAAACTTCACTTCCCCTGTTTCACTACATATAAAGCAAAATCTTGGGGGAGTGTGATACCAGGGAATTTGAACTTTTACGAGGTATCATTTAGTGAGTCCTTGGCATATTTAAGTATGAGAAGGAAGCCCAATTCAGATTTTGCTTCAGGGTCAGTGTGAAGGATGTAGAAGACTTAAAAAAGTTTTGCTTGCAAAAATACAAGCAATGAATGACTTTTTCTTCTTCTTAATATGGGTGCTGGGGATTGGACCAATACCCTTGTGCATGCTGAGCTATATCTTCAGTTGCTATTATTCTTATATTGAGGAAAGAAGCATTTTTCTTACTATAACAGATCACTGGTTAATTTCTGGCAGTTTATGAGTACTCTGTATACTGAAATTTCGAGGGGGAAAAACTTGGGAAGAAAACCCCCACACTGGTAGAGTAACTTCCTCAACAAAACAGAGGTATGGAGATAGCACCTTGGTATGGTGTCCTTCTCTAAGTTTCTGCCTGGTTGGGTCAGCTCTTTGTTTTAGTAAGCATGGCTCTCCCATAGCTTAAAACAGATGTGGGACCAGAAACGTAAATGTGAATGGAAAGAAATGGTGGTACTTTAGGAACAGAATGTTTAGAAGGTAATAATCTCTTGTTTATGGAACTCAGTACTTTTTCTTTGGGAAAAATCTATTCTGTTCCAACAGAAAAATTAAACAATATTATAAATCAACCCAGATAACATCCAAAGCCCAAACTTCAATTGCTCAGCAAATTTGCCTACATCTCCCCTATAATGTATTTTTTACCTGTGGATAACAAATTACTGTATTTTATCAATTCCACACTGCATATATTTTCCCCCTCACATTTCAACATCTTTGATATTGGGGTGTGTCTTAACAACTGCAGATGTGATCATTTTTTGTGGTGTTGACAACAGAACACATGCTAGGTAACCACTCTTATCACTGAGCTACACTCCCAACCAGTGTTTTTTGTTTCGTAATGATACAAAAATAGCAGGGCATATAATAAAGTATCGCATATTTCTTGAAGAAATATGGTACATGCTACCAGATTACTTTGGAATAGCCAATAACCAAACATCCTTAGTGAATGAAAATGAGATTAATTGATCCTTATCCATATGAATGTTTAACCCGACACCAACTCATATGCAAGTTAAAAAATCCACTGGTCCTATACATTTCATGGTTCTGCTCTGGTCCCCAAAACAGACCTGCTGTCCCACAGTGAGTGAGTTCAGCAGGTTTTGAGCTGCTCCCAGTGGGTCCATCCTCCCTACTGGAAACATGAGAGGAAGAATCTTCCCTACCAAGTTTACTGTGGTGAAGGGCCTCTGGGGATTTACGCACAATTAGATGTGCTCACTGGTAGCACAGACCTGCCTCTGAAATTTATTACCTGGTCATTCTCTAAATTGCCATGCAGCTGGTCAGAGTCCTGTGACTCACCCGGAACCCTCCTACTGTCTGTTTTATTTGGTGAGTTCCTCCTATTGGAGGGCTCTTCAGCAGAACAATCTGTTAAACTGTCAAAATCTTTTCCATCTGACACACCCATGAACTCTGTGAAGGAATGATCCTCAAGGATGTCTGTGGTATGTTCTATAGTCACTTCCCTGGGGCAGAATTCTCTGGCCAGCTGGCCATTTTTGCTGGGGCAGGCATCCAGTTCTGAACATGAACCAGTCCTACACAGCATTTTGGAGTTTTTCTCAGGGATGTTCTCAGATGATGGGCTCCCTTTGGCTAAGGCACTGTTTTCCTTGAGTGGCACCATGATTATTTTATCCTTTCCCAAGCCTCTTTCTTCTTCCGTCAACTCTTTGTTTGAGGATGGTTTGAAATCTTGCACAAGTGATGGTCCAGAATGCTCACTGGAGTCTGAGTCCTTTGTCTGAATGGCTAGCTGGTCTGAGCTGTCGCTAGTAGGGACCACCATGTCAGACAGCGTGGCATTGGAGGCGCTGTGGGAAAAGTAGCCACTGGTAATACTGCTGGTGGTAGGGCTACGAGACACGTCTTTCTCTAAGACTCGTGAGTTTGTCAGATCCACTTTAGAAGAAAACCATTCCCTGTTCTCCAAGCTGGCATTGTAAACACTGAAGTCAGCAAACTCCACAGGTATATAGGGCTGTGAACTTATCAGCTTCCTGTTAATAGCTTCCAGCTCATTTTCCTCCTCCTCAGAATCCTACAGAAATGAAGGAAAAGTCATTCAACTTCATTCAAGGAGTTGCTAACTCCTTGTAGCAACTATATTACTGATAATGAGTTTTAAATACTTCACTATTAAAGGCACTCACGTCCTCATGTTTAGTTTTCTTTTTTTTTTTTTCCCCTCTTTCTAAGTTTGGACAAATCTTATCACCTATTTTAAACACGAGTATATTATTCTCACAGTCCTGTGAATATAAACCCATCATCAGCTAATATAAAAGCATTTATTTCTTCTGGGCACTCTCAATGCTAATTAGAAATCTTTCCTTCCCTGGTTTAAAAAAAGGGATGGGATTGAAGTGCAGTACACTTTTAATTAGCTATCATATTAGTCTCAGTTGTGACATTTTTCCTTTCCTCATTAAATGAGAAGAGAAGAGTAGCTCCTTTATTTGGTCTTAACAATCTTCACCTAGGGAAGCAAAATGTAGGATAATCTGTGAAAAGTTTTTGAACAATTTTGGGGGGAGGAGAGGGCAGTAAATAAAGACCCCTATAGCAAGAGAGCAAAGAACACAATTTCAACACTCAGTATTACATTAAATATTACAACACAATAAAATGCTAATGATTTTTTTGAGAGATAAAAATAGAGGATTTGGCTAGAAAATAAGAAAGGTGGGTAGTGGGTTTAAATGAAACTCTCCTTCATTAGTTTTGGAACTTTGTAAAGACTGATCAATATACAAGTGGATGTCACCAACTCCTTAATCTCCAAATAAATGATTTAAAAAATTTTTGGTTGAAAATACTGTAAAATATATGGGTATTTTAGGTTTGAATAACAATAAGTGATACACTATTATAATTTTTAATTAACCTCATAAATAACCAACAACATCACAACCATTGATTTTTTTAAAGATATTTTGTAGTACTGGGGATAAAACTCAGGCCTTGCGTAAGCTAGGCAAGGGCTCTACCACTTGAGCTATGCCTCCAGCCCTCAACATTGCTTTTTATTTCTTGGTGGTACTGGAGTTTGAACTCAGGCTCTTGCTAAGCAGGCCCTCTACCACTTGAGCCATGCCCCCAACCCTCAATACTGCTTTTGATTTTTTTTTTTTTTTTTTGTGGGACTGGGGTTGAACTTGGAACTTCATGCTTACAAAGCAGGAACTCTACCACTTGAGTCATACCTCCAGTCTAACATTGCTTTTTAAATGTGACTTTAAATCACCATTGTCCTGAGAATCTGGAATACCAGTGGTGAGCAAAAAGAGACATAGTCCCTCTCTCAGGGAGTTATGACTTTGATCTTAGAACAATCCTGAACTCTGATTGAGTGGATATTAATTTCATTGGAAGCAGAACTTCAGAACCTCAAAAACAGTTAGTTTTCCACTGGTATCTAATGTGACAAGCTATTTAAAATGTTTGTACAATTTTAACAACTAGGTATCTGTAAAAACCTGGACCTAACATCAGCCTTAGTTATTAAGGCTGCATTTGGAGGGAGGGGGGAAGAGAAGAAGGGAGGATGAGATATGTGAAAGAAGTGAGATCATCACAATATGGCAGAAGGTTGTTCACAAATGATCATAAATTTTGTCTGTTGAATTATATGGCAATATTTTCCTTTGCATTTTGTAAGAAACTAAACACCCCCAAAATAGTTTAATAATCTTTAACACCTCTTAGTTTTAAAAGTAACTTAATTTTCATAACAGTTTTAAAAACGGATTTGAGGAATGGGGGTCACAGTTCAGTGACAGAGCAGATGTTTAGCATGGGCAACTCAAGAAAAAGAATGAATGTAAGTTAGTTAAAGATAAAAGTAATTTTAATTCCTTAGCTATTAAAAGGTGAATATCAAATATCATTGATAAGGTTCCTGAAACCACCTTATCTTTAGTTGCTTTCTAAATTACGTTGCAGTTTTAAAAAAGTAAGTGGGGGCTGGAGACTTAGCTCGACTTTCAGCACTTGCCTCACATGCCCAAGGCCTTGGGTTCTATCCCCAGCACCACAAGACCAACAACAACCAAATAGTGGCATGGTGGCACATGCTGTACCCAGCACTCATGAGGCTGGGGTAGGAGGACTGAGAGTTTGAGGCCAGCTGGGCAGACCCTGTCTCAGAAAAAAAAAAAAAAAGGTGGCTGAGATGAAGCATTCTTTCTCTGAGTTAGAATGTTAGTAAAGGAACAAATATTGGACAGATGTGTCTAAATCAGTAGCCTTTGCCTGTATTTTCTAGTTTTTTTTTATTCATCATATTTAGACTCAAAATTGAATTTTGAGTGTTTGGATCTCTTATTTCCTTTTGATCTAAGGTGTCAAAGTAACACAATTCTCCAAGTCCTAGAGGACCTGATGTAATTAATTACTAACAATTTTTGTTGCAAGGAAAAGCGAATTTGCAGGTAAGAATTAATACTGATTTGGGGCCCATTTTTATGCCTAAATGTTATTTCTTCTCAAGATTAAGGAAACGCCTTTTGCCCTAAAATACAATTTTGCTGAATGAAATATGAAATCATGAGTTTAATTAATAGAAATAGAGGAACATTTATCAAATTCACAAGGATAAAAGCATTACTCCTACAGGTCATTAGAATGATCTCAGTAAAACTGAAGAGCCCAAGAAGCTCTAGGAGACAAAGATCAAATAGGATCAGAACACAGTTCTGCACCGGGGTTGGGGGAGAGGAGGAAGGCAGGGAGAAGTGACCCCAGGACCCAAAGGGGAAGTCTAAAAGAGTAGGAACAACTTACTCCAGAAAAAAGGAAAATGGAGTACAGATTAAACATTTCCCAACATTTAAAAGGAGACTGAAACTGAGTTACTACCTTTAAGAAGAAAAAAAGTCTGGTTAGATAGACTTCTTATACCAGGAGTCTCAGCTATCACTGGATCCTAAAGGAGACTAAACTAAGCACATTCCTGCAATGTCTGAAGGGCAAAAAAGAATTAAAACCCTACCCTAAGGCAGCACATGGAGTCAAATTTTCAAGCTTCTCTACAATAACAGTCTTCATGATTTGATTTTTGCAATTTAACTTATACAGCTGATATTTATCTAGACAAAATACTTTGATTTAAAAAAGACATAAAAACCCGTATTAAAGCAGTGCCTCTTTGTAGGAATCTCACTTGAGATTGTTGTCCACTCCCACAACAATCAGGTCTTTGCAGGCCGTAAGAGGTGGCCTGTTGTCAGGACTGTATTCGCCAAAGGCCCCCAGTACCTCTGTGTTTGGTACTAGGGACCAGATGGCAGTGTACTGAGCTGAACTACCTTGGGAAGCAGCACCTGGAGTCATCAGAGTCTGCCCGATTTTGCTGAAGGATGAGGCTCTTTGTCTTACACTTTCATTAACTATGAGTTCTTGGGCAAGCTGCTCAGTAACTCTTGACCTTTGTTTCTTCTGTAAGATGAGAGGAATGATCCATATGCTGTCTGTGAAAGACCTCAGAGAGGGGTAGTGTGGATACTGGGAGGAAGGGCTGACCCATTTTCTGCTATCCTCTATGCCTCAAGACATAAAAAGATGGACCACAAAGGAATATTGCTGCCTTTATCTTATTTGTGCAAGACAGAAAACATACATGTACCACTTTCCAAATTCATCAAACAACAAAGTATAGCTTAAACAATCAAAGATAGCTGGGTATGGTGGTGCACACCTGTAATCCCAGCACTTGGGAAGCTAAGGCAGGAAGAGCAAGAGTTTACGGCTAGCCGGACACCAGTGGCTCATGCCTGTAACCCTAGCTACTCAGGAGGCAGAGAACAGGAGGATTACGGTTCGAAGCCAGCGTAGGCAAATAGTTTATGAGACCCTATCTTCAAAAAACCCATCACAAAAAAGGTGGAGTAGCTCAAGGTTCATGCCCCGATTTCAAACCCCAGTATAGGGGGAAAAAAAAAACGTCTGAGGCCAGTCTGGACTACACAGTGAGTTCAAAGCCATCCTGGGTTACATAGTGGGATTCTGTCTCAAGAGACAAAACAAATAAAAAGCCAAGGGGGAAAAAGCCCCAAAAGAATCACACATAACTACATTTAATACATTTTATGTAACATTATAAGAGTTACTGTGGCAATCAGGTGGGTCAAAAAAAGTAACAGTGTCTTGATACTCCTTTTCAAGAATGACTGCAAATTCTCTCCATCAGTCTGAACCACTGATTCACTGTGTGTTTTCTTCCCAGAGTGGAGGAGAAAAGAAAGTGAATTAGGATCAAAGAAAGAGCATGGTTTATATCTATTTATAAAAGGAAATAAAATTAAAGCTTCCCAAAGAGAAATTAAGATCTCAGGTCAAACAAGCAATGCACTTAAGCTCTACCAAAACACTCTGGAAAACTGCAATATAGAGGCAATGGAACAGTGGAGTAGCCTCTGAGGTAAGAGTGTGTGGCAAGCCAGTTTTCTAAGGAGAATAGAGGCAGCTCTCTTAAATCAGAACCCAGGAAGAAAAAGGTACCATTCAACCCTACTTAGCATACTTCAGGGTACGTTTGGTCACACAGAGTCTAACTGCTGCTTGAGATTTTTTGGGTTAAGAGAATCTGGTTCCATCCTACGCTCTGATAGCTAAGATGGGATTTATTTGAAGATATAAAAGGAAAGTGAAGAAAATAATCACGGGGCAAGCTGTGTGAAGTGTGGAACTATCTGTTGCAGAGCTCCAAAAGGGATATCCAGCAGTCTCTGGATGATGATGTACCAAAATGGGTTGCTACAGTAGGTCCGGATATGACTTATTATCATAAGTGACAGAACCAATCAGACATAGAGCCAGACAATTTGAATGGTAACAGCATAGCCTTTTTGGCACTTTTAGTCCACCCTGCAGCCCTTAATAACTGGGCAGGGGTGGTCAGGTAAGTGGTGAGTAGCTCATTAAGATCTGTAGAGATGAAGGAGCAGCTACTGACTTGTATTCTCTTCTACATCAGAAACTAGAACAGGGACTTTGGTATAGAAGGATGGGGAGGACCTAGAAGCAGAGGAGGGGACTGAGGGATAGAAAAACAAAAGGAAAGAGAATTTTCTTTTTTCCTCCCCACAACAGGAATGAGGACATCATTTCCTAAGCCCCACTAGTAGCCCAGCATGCAAATGATTGGGCAACTGCAGGCCAGGATTAACTTGCAGTTAGTATTCACATAATGTGCAGGAACAGCATAACCTAAACTGTTAAAGGATCTCACACTAATGGGCCTCTGGGATGGATCTGACATGGTATAACTGGGAAAGAGAACCTTCACACACTGCTGACACAGATGATCACATGCAGCCATAAACATCAGGTAGTTTCCTCTCATCCTAGGCTAGTTTTATTTTTTTTCAAGCTTAGGAAGCCACGAAATAGTGAAAGCTGAGACACAAAATTAGAGAACTATTACCAAGCTGGAGAACACACAGGTTTACAAGGTATAATTTGTAATCTAAACTGCCTGGTATAACAATGTTTTAAAAGCCTTATATCAAATGTATAATTTTTAAAGCCATGTACTGGGGCATGAAGTTTTACAGGTAGAGTTTCAACCTACCTGTGATAAAATGCAGGTAAGCCATCCTGAAAGCAAGACTGAGAACAGCAGATTGGAATGTATTTTGCCAGCTGATTAGCCAAGGCTCCCTAAGCTGGAGGAATGATGGTGATGATGGGACTAGAGAGCAGCTACAAACTACAGAATTACCTTGGCAGTAGCATCAAGCAACATAAAGCAGCTTTCAAACATACCCACAGCTAAATGCATGATTACTTACTGCAAGTAACTGCAATTCCTCTAGGTAGATTAACTTCAGAATCTGGGCAGTATGTACAGGCACATTAGAAAGATTTCAGCATTAAATTGATTTCTTTGTTACACTTTTCTTTTTTAAAATAATGACCAGAATCATCAATTGGTGTCTTTTCCCCCTTAACTAAGCAAACTTATACTAAGCAAAAGTGAATAAAAATAGAACCAACACTTAGAAAACTCACAGGTCATGGCCATATCCATGCAAAATTTCATTAACCATGGTCACTTTTTTTATTCTAAAGCAAAGAGTCAATACATGTCTTAATTTCTTCTAAAGCATTTGGAAGACACTCTGTGAAAGGGCTTTAAACCCACCACCAAGCAATATGACAGAAATGGTTCCAGAACTTACAATCTTCTTCTCACGTTTGCTATTGTGTTCTACTGGCATGCTGCTGCCATTGCTTCCTGAGGGTACAATGCAGCCAGGGTTATGTGCCTGAGATGGAGGCATGCTCTGCAAAGGTTAAGACACACAGTGCATCACACACAAAAGATGACAACAGCCGAGATACCTATTAAGTACATGCATGTTAGAAAAGCAATGCCAACACTTATTACATGTGAGTAATGCAGCAGCCAATTTTTGCAGACCACAGTTAAACTACTGGTGAAATCTGATAGGACTACACAGATTCCGTGACCAAAAAAAAAAAGTTTTATTTTAAAAATGAATAAATAAAAGCTTTAAGAGTTTCAAAACACCTAGAGGACATCTCTTTCTCACTTGAAAGATAAAAAAAAAAAAAACTCTGAAAAGCCATTGACACAGAGTTAGAGTCACAAGACTAACAACCACCAAAAACTCCAACCATGGTCCTGTGTGCTTGAGAAAGAGGTATCCAAGAAAAGAATCCACGGAGTGATAACCCATGCACATCTACATGCAGCATCCAACTTGTAACTGCAAGCTGCTATTCTCCAGACAACATAATTGTGTTGTTTTGCACAGCACAGATAAGTATTTACCTCTTGGCTTAGAAGAGGTCTTGCTTCAAGAGCTATCCTTTTCTTATGCTCCTCTTTTACAGGCATTAGGGGTTTGAAAAACTTTGGTGGCTGAGGAGAGAATGCTTTAAAAGGGCTGACTGTTAAGGCATGAGGATTCTCGGATGTACAACCTGAGGAAGACAAAAAGGCATGAGTTTAAAGGTACCAGGAAACCAGGCAATAACCTACTGTTATAGTTTGAATATAAAATGTCCCAAAGAGTCATGTGTTGAAGACTTGCTCCCAGCTGCTGGTACTACTAAGAGATGACTGGAGCGTGACAGCACTAACCTCATCAATGGGTGATTCCAGTGGTCAGTACATAGATAAATGGGCTATTAGGTGATGGAGCCCAGTTGGAAGAAAAGTCACTGAGCCAATGTGTCTCTTTGAAGGGTATGTCTTCTCCCTGGCCCATTCCTGTCTATGTGTCTGTCTGTCTGTCTCTCTCTATGCTTCCTGACTTTCATAAAATAAATAGCCTCCCACTACACATTCCTGCTGCTGTTATATTCTTCCTTGTCTCAGGCCCAAAGCAATGGAGCTGGTTGACCTTGGATTGAAACCTCTAAAACCTTGAGTCAAAAATCTTCCCTTAAATTGATTACTCTCAGGTATTTTTTAACAGCAATGATATGATGGTTAACACAAGTTGCCACAATAGTACCTGGTATAATGGTGAAATTAATATGCTAAGATTTGGTTAAGCATTAAAATGGATGTAGGCAAGACTAGGGATGAATGTACACAGTCACGAAGAGTTATTAAAGGGCTAGTCAGTGTGAGAAAAATTGCAACTGAAAATTTTCTACCCTCTTTTCAAAATCCAGTTTAAATACCACTTATGAGACCAATTTTAGCTCATACTGTTTTTCCCATTTCTAAATTCTCAGAGCCCTTATCATCTGCACATGCATTCTGACACTTTATCAATGTTTTATTTTCTATATATCTTATTTCCATCATTATATTTTAAGATAGCAAACAGAGGCTCAAAAAGTATACTCAATGAGTGAATATTGCACACATTTTTGTATCAGTCCCTTTTTCCCTCAGGCCACGTAGTTCTATATGACTAAGGAAAGATCATTCTTTCTTGCTTGTTCTCATTTTTTTTTTTAAATTATTTTTTTTAATTTTTTTTAATTTTGGTCTCTTTCTCCCTTGTATATTTTCTTCCCAATTTCTAGTACAATGGCATTCAATAGATAAAACGCAAGACATAAGCTGATTTACAATTCCAGAGCGTGCCACTCCTATCAAGACCTTGGGAGACTTCATATTTAAGTAATAAATGTTGCCATGGATCAAATACACTTTATTTTTGAACATGCTTTGGGAATCAAAGTCATGTTTTCTTAAATATTCCTTTGAGTACAAAAACATGACAGAGGTACATATTATTTTGATAGAGAAAAATGGAGTGAGATTTGTATGTCTCAAAAATGACTTCAAACTCAGCACACAGGGTATTGAAAAATGATTTGGAAAATCTAAAGTATATGCAAAAAGTGTACTGTTGGGCTAGGGCTGTAGCTATCAGTGGTAGAGCACTCGCCTGGTCTATGTGAGGCCCTCTAGGTTTGATTCCTAGAAACACACATACAAACACATGCCAAAACATAATATTATTTGATATGTTGGATACAAAGCAAAAAGAAGTCCAGTAAGTGAATTTCAAGATTTTTGGGTCATCTTGCTAATTAAAATTTCAGATTAGTGTCTCAGCATAAGATACCCATGAAAGATATTTTTTCATGCTATTTCTAAATAATTAAAAGAAAAATCACTGCGAAATGATCTTACCACTACCTTCTTTGCTCCTTCTAGGTGAATCCCTGGGTAAAGTTCCATAACAGGCTACATCTTGATAACTGGAGCTGTAGTCAGACACGTCTAACTGGTTCTCTGGCCAACCCTACAAAGTTAAGATATGGGTTAACTGTGATGAAATCGTTCTAAAATGGGAAAAGAAGCCTGGATTTAAGTTTCTTTTATTTTTTTACTGGCAGTGTGTACTCTTCTTTCTTTACTTTTATCATGAAATATTTCAAGCATATATAAAAGTGATGACTCTATCAAATATTATCATAACTAAAGTACACACAGTGTGAATAAATATTTTATTACATTTCTTCAAGATTTGATACAATCATTATAAATATAGTGAGCGCCACTTTTGAACCTATATCTGGTCCCATTCACCTTCATCACATCTCAGAGGACTGGTATCAATTTGGCATATATCTAGGTGA